AAAACGTCGTCCGCTTATAAAATGTCGGTAAAGTCGAAATAGCTGCTATATTTTATTTTTATTGAGCACAAAATGATATTTATGCTACACTTACTTCAAGGTTGAATGGGATATCACAGGTGGCGGAATTATTTATTTTTATCTTCCTACAGAAACACTGAAAAATATATTTCTTCTTTGTATTATGCTTTTATATAAATTATGCGTAGCACCGCAATATATTTAGCTTATAATGCACATCTTCAGAGTAATACCCGAAACGACGGCGAAACGAACCGAGGTGAAGCCGAGAGTACAAAATGTAGCTGTTTGTAACACTACCAATGTTAAAAGAACACCGTATGTACTTTATCAATGGGAATCAATTATTACTAACATCGTCAACACAGACAGTTTTATGCTAACAGCATGTGCATGTATATGGGTTCAGGGAATATTGCACCTTATGATGTAAAACAAAATGTCAATTATCAACTGAGAACCATGACATGGTTAAGTCAACGCTTTGTCTACGTTATTCAAACTATCACGAAATCCCAAAAATAATGCTACTATTGTTTTCTTTTTGTTACCTATTCTTTTTGGCATGAACCGAAACATTTTACGAATGATTTTCTGGAAACTGTGCCAAGCAAAAGTCAGTGTCCTTTTATTTTTAAGTAGTTTTCAAATTGATGCCTAATAGTCATAAGCCAAAAAAAATCTAGAGCATCGTCAGCTTCCATCGCCAACAGAACTAGATTTCATCTCTACAATGATGCTTTTTATGCAGTCCAGAGGAAATGGAAATATTCATACTTCCAAACATAGACCCTCGTTCTAATAAGATTATCATGTGACGTAATTGATGTAATAACAGGACGTCCCGAGTGGACGGTGCGGGTCACGGTGGCGCGGCTCCGAGGCCGTCGTCACTACCGTACGGGCGCACGCCGCCTCCCGCTGCACCACGACGAGCTGCTTCTTCATCAGCAGCGCGAGCTCACCACGCCACCACCCAGCAGAAAAACAAGTACGTATTCATCGAACCTTCAGATATTTTAACATTAATACTTCTAATATTATCTCTTGTTTAAAAATTATTGTGCTGTTTTCTCAACAGCCTGAAAACTATGTTTATTTTCTATGACAGATTCATTAATCATAATTATTACGCTAAAATTTCATGGTTGATTTCCAGATACGTGAGAACCCTGTGGCATCGGCTACCGTCAGACTCCGGGCATCTTGCGTTCAACGAAGGGGAGCGTCTCCGACTGATATTGGAGGTAGACGATCAGTACCTGCTGTGTTGTCGTGGTGAACAAAAAGGGCTAGTGCCGCGCGATGCCGTGCTCTTAGAGGATTTCTGATATTGGCAACCATAGCATGACTGGCAGCCATGTTGGCGCCCGTTACGTTTGAACGGCAAACGTTAGATTCGGTGAAAATCGCATTACGTTTATATTTCTCAATGTGTTGAAATCTTTATAATGAATTTGTACGAATCCATCTCGTTTAAATACATTATAAGTATCCACGCAATGGAAAATATAAACGTCAAATGGTCGAGAATATGTGCAATAGGTTTCGGAGTGGTGAATTGTTATGGAACTAAACTTTGTTTCGTCTGGAAATGTGTTTGAACTCTTGTGTTGTGTAGTTTGATTCGGTATGTGAAAAAATGAATGTAATCGTGAACTATGCTGTTCAAAGACTATGTGAATATTCTTGTAATGTTATTCTATGTTTCATACTCTACTCCATTCGATTGGAGCGCTAATTTAATGTCTTAATCATTATTTAAAATTATTTAATTTCGATATTGTAACTCAGCAATATTCATTCTTCGCAGAATCTTAACATCATTAAATATCTCTCACATTTCTAATTATTGTAGTAAAATCTAGTCTTACGTTTTAAGGCACGACAAGGTCTTGGACTGTATATAAATTTATTTTAAGTAACACAAATTGTGGGAATATTTACTGGGAATGGCTGAGCGTAATGAAGACTTGATGACGCATTGACAGTAAATATTTATCTCAATAATATGTGATATATAGAATACTATTTACTTTTATGGTAGGAACAAAATCTCATACCTTAAGGGCAAACTCCATTGTATCTTAAAATCATTTGATTCATGACTGCCAAGGGAAACACGCTCCAAAGTACTTTGTTGTTTAGATAAATTATCTACTTAAATGTGAATTTGATGTCTAAAATTACCCTTGATATAAACGATACTTGTATAATATACTAATTACGACCTATTGGTATTAGTGACTTAACATGGTAGGTATAAGTTTAATGAAAATTTTATAGTACTTCGGTGACTAAGTATTGTTTGTGAATGTTTCACTAAATTATATTACGCGGGTACGGTGTATCTGGACATTATTGACAAACATTGACAGGGAAGTTAGCCACAGATTGTGTAACTTCTGGCTACACTAACTGCATGCGGCCTCATCCGAAACACCTTCCTTAGCGGTCTGTGGTGAACTGTTCATTAACTTGTGGTGTAGGTGGTACTAACTGGTGTACATTATTAACTGCATGGCCCTTACCGACACTGCCTTCCCGAAGCCGGCCTACACTCTCAACCAAACCCCAACTGACAGTTTATATTACGGTGTTGGTGTAAACTACCTGGTACCACTAACTGCATGCACCTCTCCACTTCACACGTCCCCAATGCCAGCACAATATTCTTGTAATATCACTTGTAACTCTGTACGTACCTACCGTACCTGACTATGTACATTACTAGCGATATTAAATCAATTATGATATCGATATTGATATTAAAGATGGATTCGTCATCTCAATGTCTGCTTAACAGTCACGAATATTATTGTGATATAATGGTCATATCACTGCTATTATGATGCGGAAAGAAACGATATTTTTGGTATGTATTGTATTTTATTGCTCAAGTTGGAAGCGCAACATTATCGGATGATATGATTGATATTAATATTCGAGACGTAATACTCTAATATTATACCTATTATAAATTTCAGTATTCGTTATTGGTGTATAGTAATTGTACATAATATTAACTATGGAGTTATTCTTAGTAGTGATTTTAGAGGTCAAAATTTGTAAGAAAACGTTTTGAATGCACGATACAGTTCCTCTCGTAGTCCGTCGTGCTATCGAGTCACAACATTGGTGAACATGTAGTCGATATACTCGTAGTGAGCTAAATTATTGTAACTTGCGTGTAACCGAGGAGTGTTTCTCGAGGCAGTCGTGATGGTTGACTCTTGCCGACTACGTTCAGTGAACAAGTGTGAGGCTCGTCGCCGCGATAATCTCATCTCCTAGATGCGGACGTAAGTTGACACAAATTAGAACTGTACAATAGAATTAATCTATACAATAATTAGGTTAAAATGTTATCTAAATTATAGTTGAATTATTTAGACGATCGTAACTTTGAACGTTTGTAAAATACACATTTTCATTACAGTGTTAGGGTAATTCGCGCTTTGTGACTGAATGATGTGTTGTGGCCTTTGTATGTATTAAAGTTATATAGTGTTACTGTGTCGTGTGTGTGCGCTTGTTGCATCAGTCGAGGTATTCATTGTATCGTCTTAACGTTCATAGCATGGGGAATGCTTCCACAAATTATTTATTATAGTAATCGAAACTCCTAACTAGCCGTTAAAGTATTAGTCGAACAAACATGCCTTAAAGTAATCAAAGTAATAACTCTACGGAGGAGGTAGTTGTTGTTCGCTTTGCGACAGCTTCAACAAGTAATCGCTTCGCAGTTAGTATCTTGCAGTACCATAGGAGTTTGTTAGTCGTAAGTTTTTATCAACAGTTTGTATTATTGAATGATGTTGAACTGGTTTTTTATAAAATGACAATCCTGCGCGTTCGTTTTAAGGTATTGTTGGATACATGTGGTGAGTCAGTTGTCCTTATGGGTACAAAAGGTTAAGTTATTCTACTATTTTTCGTGAGTAAGGTTTTTATTTATAATTTTTACGATTGGGATCAATAAGTTGAATTTTGTGTTGAAACTTTATTTTTCTTAAAAAAAAAGAGTAAAATCAAAAAGAGGCTTTCGTTACTTTACGAAACGTCAACGAACGACTGAGAAATTATTCCGAATATTATATTTAAGTTTATTTCGAAAAGTTAATACTAATATGTAATTAAATGATGTATGTATTATTATCAATTGTTTTCTGGCGTGACATTATCTCATTCAATGTATGTATTTGTTTAAAGATATTTTTATTTGTGTTAAGTGCCATAATTTAATGAATTAACAATTGATAAATATTATTATAATGCATAACCATGTACACCAATTAAACAATATATAAAAGATCTTGTCTTTTCTTTCACTTAAAAATATTCTGATCGCTATCCATAAAAAAATGTAACCACAATATCTCTTGGAATCGATACTTAGAATAAAGTGCTACTTACAAATTTTCGATATTGAAATTCTAAAGAACTGCATAAGGCCCTCTTAGGAAGACTCAAAACATAACTGATGCAGATCCAGGTCATTCTGGGTATAAAATCTATTATTTGAAATATATAAAAATATATTATTTGAAAATAAGAAATAAAACTCAGTACATGAGGTGTATAATTTAATCAACATAAATAAACTCGGATATATAAGTAACGACTAAAGCTGTTCTACCTGTATTAAAGAACGACTGTGTCGAATATCCTACTTGTGAGGTCGTGAAACTACATACACATTATCACTACAATCATCTGACATCAATTTGACTTAACTTATGCAAGAAAAACCCAACCAACACAATGACGGCTTTGAGTTAGACACATTTTTAACCTGTTGGATTTATTTTACTTATTTACTGATTTATGATAAAGAAACAACATAGAAGAATACGTAACGTTTCGATTCAATACGTAATATCTACGTTTAATTTTATATTATAGGTTTCTTCTAAATTGCCAGTCTAGTTTAATCAATCATGTGAAATTAGGTTCTTTTCCTCGTGAGAAAATATCGTAGAAAAGGGATGACAACAAGCTTATGATGATGTTTGGGTTGGTTCCTTCTTGTGTAAGTCCAATTTTAGAAAATAAATAAGCATATCGAAATTGCTGAAGGCGATTGTCAATACTACTAGACACATTTTTATTTTCTTTTTCTTTTATATTATGTGCACGCTCGTGCAATACAATAATTTGTGCGTTTTGTATATCTATCACTCTGAATTAAAAATAAACATTTACGTATTGACGCATATCAAGTAACTCCAACCTGTCTTAGATTTTAATTACTATTCGAATTACTACGTATGTCATATTAAATTAATCTATCACCCACTTTTCACCTGTTTAGTATAAACTGGTTTAGAAATCTTCATAAAAGAACAGATTGGAATAAATTGATATGCTACCATCTGAACTTTGAAACTTTGTTATGTTCCGTCTTCGTCTTACACTTAAAAATAAGAAATGCTTAAAAGTGACAGCGACACGACTCAGAAGCACGCACTAAACGTCTATTCTCGATCAAATACTAACATTTAGAAGTCACATCACGATTGACTTTTCTACATTTAGACAACACAGAGAGCCTAGGGCTATACAATGAGGGTTTTTGCATCCATAGTGGCGCTAGTGTCGATCAAGTCTCTTGGAAATTTGCTATTGTTAAGTCACTTGTAAAAGTGCTGAAATGTTGGATTAAATGTCCAATTTTAATTTTGTAATAATAAAGTCATATTTCAGTGAGCAGCTAATTAAGTTTAGAGGACTTAATCCTCACTAGCACCCCCAAGTAAGCAATCGAAAATCCTCATTTCGTTCAATTGTGTACACATCAATATATGGAGAATGCTGGACGTTGAGTGAGGGAAGTTCGCCTAGAGAGGGCGGAGCGTGGAGGCTCGCGGGCACTCATAGGCCTAGCTACAGAAGTTCGTCGATTCCTCTCGTTGTTGCGTTGGACGAGGTCTTCTTCCATGTTCTCAGCGTCGATGGATGTCGGATGGATCCTGCGTCGCGGTGAGAGTGCTCGGGGCGTGCGAGGAGTTCTCGGCGCCCGAGCTGACAGGCACCGGGACTTTGGACGGTCCTCTTCAGTCCACTCGTGGACGGACATGTAATATTGATCCTGTATAAAGATGGGACGTTAATAATGTTTTGTCATTAATCACGCTGGTTAATGTTGTTTACATATTAACAATAACTTTATTATAATTTATTAAAACTTTATTAAATTTTTATTTGTAGACTAGTAGACCCCGCAAACTTTGTTTCGACTTGAAAATTTTCTTGCGCATCTTAGTTATTTATTTCTTATATAGGAACCTTCCCCTAGCAATAACAAACCCAACAAAAAATAATTAGCAAAATCGGTTCAACTGTTCTCAAGCATTGCGCTTAGCAACACATCTAGCGATTATTTTTTATACATTATACATTATTGATAGATACTTCTATAAATGACGTCAAAGAATTAGTATTTATGGCATTATGACGACATTTTCAATTAGGTATGTTGTGTTTTTAAACCTTACCTAATTAGATATACGCAATGTAATTTTTCCTCGTCTATATTCAGAAAATTAGCACTAAGCTAAATGCGGATAGGTATACATGTCGAGTGATTAATTTATACCAAACTATTGACGTGTTAGTCAACTGAATCACAAGGAATTGATAATAATGCTAATTTTTATAAATTACTATTTTCCTATTCAACCAAATTTCCAAAATAAATCACAATTTAAAAGGTATATTATACAAAAATAAAGTACTGCTACATGTAGTACATTTACTAAATTTGAACTACCTAGATACAGTATACATTGATCTAATTATTACTTTATCTAAAATAGTATAAATTTAAAGTGAGAACTTACCAGAATATTCCAGAACCTGCCCCTGATCTATAGGCAGTTGAAAGTGCAAGTGAAATAATGACAACAGAAGACTACAATACAGTTGATTCTAAATGTCTCGTGGTCTGTGAACTAGTGAACAAAATAAAACCAACATGTATAGTGTTAAACTGTATTAAATGATTACCTAATAGGTATACAATACGTCCTCTGGTCTCCATAAAACATCGTACGTCTCAAAACTTCGAGTTAAGTTGCTGTCTACATGTACAGTAAGTATCTATTAGTTTAGTTAAAACTTATCTAGACAATTTACCATAAAAAGCTTGCGTGAAAATCATTCGATCAAATATTACTTTCAAATTATGAGGCCAAATTCCAAAGAACTGATTAAATCGCACAGAAAATGCAAAGTATCTATCTTATCATAACTGACAATGCAAGAAAGTTTTGTGACTGAAGCTTCAAACATCAATACACGCTATCTAAACCTAATCATCTCTTATAGTCATAGTTACATATAAAAACATTATATAATAATCTGGTCAGTCAATCTCGAGCCCATACCTGTTCTCGCCACAGCAGTGCCTGGTATCAAAAGTTCTCCAGCGACAATATAATACGAACTGCCTGGTACATAACGCGAATGCAATATAAAGCTAATACTGTCTACGTCAGTGTATCACAATGTTATGATGAATGCTGTGCCAAGAACTCCTATCTCCTATCATTACATTCCAAATTATAAAAACATCGAAATATATCAGTGCATATATCTATGAATACGTAGTGGAAACAACAAAACACAGTGATAACAAAGCCTATAGTACTAGGAATAGTATAAATAAATAAATATAATACACATTTAGATAGTAGTATAGCATAATATATGAATATCACTTGATTACCGATACAATATACTAAAACATCGCCATGAGATAATGTACGTAGTGCTGCTAATGAAAAGAATATCTAAGTGCAATGTTGAGCACAGTTTCCTTAAAGCATTTTCTAATGAAACCATGCTTGCTCAAACCATTGCGCAGATAAAGGTAAAGGCTACTGGACACAATATTACTGGAGACACCGAAATGGATAACACTACGGTACCTACTATAATGAATTGGCACTCATGATACTAACATCACTCGGACAATGATGATGTAAACAAAGAATTTCACTTGTAAAATTATTCAACTATAAACGCTACAAATACAACATTCAAATGTATAAATTACGTATAACAATACAATATTAATGATTGATACACTTATAACACACTCAACATATTGTCCGAAAAGATATGCAAGAAATCATTGACATTGATTATGACAAATTTAATAACATCCAATTTGTCTAAACAAACGTACCTTAATAAAGTCACTCAAACCGGATATCAATTTATCGAACAAAATTAACAAATACAAAAAATGTTATACGATAAGTTTGGACTCTTGATTATAAATATTAGAGTGGTTCGCTGAGAAGTCGAAGTTTCTCAGTGCAAGCTCTTAACATTGTTGTTGATTCAAATTCTCGTCGGATTTCGGAGGCTGCGATGCCGCTGGCACTGGACTCTACGATAAAAAAGCACGCATTAATTCTTTATCTCAATTTAAAATGTAAAAGGCACGCAAATTAAGAAAAAACAAAGGTTAAAAAACAAAAGAAAAACCAAACAAAAGAAAACGGGTTAGATGATTGTTATCCACGATAGCCAAGTCCCTCACACACAAACGCAATGAGTTACCTATTCAATAAAATGTGTATAAATATTCTGGCTGAAACAAAAATGAACAAGTGCGATTTAAATGTCCGTCACCGAAAAACGAAAACGAAATGAAAAAGCGAAAACGACATAGAACAAAAAGGCCCAAGTTGCGGCTAGAAAGGGCCTCACCTCCTGTCGAGAATGGCCGAGACTGTCTGGCACCGGCGATTGGCCCGACATCTGCTTGATGTACTCTTTGTCATCGAAAATTTTGATGTCACCGCCTCCGGGTTTATGCTTTACGTTATCCATGGATCCCACTTTACTTTGTGCTTTGAATTCCAATTTTTGATTTTCGATCTGTTTCAAAGAATTTAGTGTGCACATAAAATAAAAATACATACAATATTTATCATAGGAAGGTTCCGTAGATACTAATTAAAAATACTTTGATTGCTATATTAATGAATGGCTGTCCACAAATACTCTATTATTGTCAAAGGAATAAAGTGTTGAAACGTGATACATTGCCAAAAATCGTCGGCAATATATCAACGTTACATTCATACAATTGACAATATTTTTGCTTTTGTTTCGAAGAAAATTGTAACTGAACTTTTGATTAACGATAACGATTAATAATATATAATATAAAAAAATTCTTAATAAATATCGGCTTACGTTTTCCAAAACGATTGAAATATGACTTGTAATCAACTAATAATTTTAAAGATACTACAAAACATTTTGTCAACAAAAGTATTAATGGAATCAACAAATACGACTATACGTGGATTTGATTATAATAAGATTAACCCGATAAAAATACTATAAAATCGTCTTACTATCAACTTTATAAATTACAACTTGATTAGGAACACTATAAAAGTTTTATTAGTTGTTTATGTGTGTATTCGACCTTGTTCAAAGGAAATTAGTTGAATCGTGGAATAAATAAATAACCATAGGTACTCTGAAAACCCCGTGGACTTTTTCAATTAATTTTATATGAATTCTATAAATAAAGCAGCAAAGTCATTCCAATTAATTCTCATCAACTATAATTACGTATGTAGAAAAAGTTTTCCCACAATAAAAACAATAATGTAGGTTACAATTTTCTTCTAATCAATTTAATTGCGAATACTGTGGTTACAGTGAATTAAAATCAAGGAAAAATTTGTATTTTCTAACACAAATAATAGTTTCTACGGAGCCTTCAAGCATACATAGATATATCAGTGCGGTTGCTAAGTAATAATATCATAAACATGTGATGTAGGTATACATACACGTATGTTTGTGTTTGTTTCATAGTACAATGCATAATCGTTATTGATTTCCATAGCGTGCCTGTCGATGATATTCGTGTAGGTCGTGTGTACAGTAACAATCAGGTATTCGTTCTCTACTTTACATAACATTATCATACTATTATTTTATATAGAAATTTGGCATTCCTAGTGTATAAAATAAAACTTATCAGGTGTAACGACACTTATTCTACTATCATTCATATTCATCAAACCGGCAAGACATTTATATTATATCAGTTTTATGTGAATAGTAACACTCTGTTCATTTCATATCAAAAGCGTAACACCTAGCGTGATAGTACAGCCACAGCCCGTCCTAGAAGTAACTTATGTATAAAAGGTTTCTATCGAGTTAAGATATCTCACGTATGGTACAAAACATGTACCACCCAACCAACCTTACTCCATAAAGAGTGGTAGGCAAAATGTTTATGAGATGCTCTCCATCGCGGTAACGCCCACTTAACATACTAAAAATAACAATTATAAAATCTCACAATTACGTTTATAGAGGTAGACATTGCATTACATACATCTATTGTATATGACGTACGTATGTGCATTGACGTCACTGCTTATAAACTTAAACCTGTATAACGAATTTTACATAAAAATTGTGCAATAAGTGACTGTGTTCACACAAACTTATTAATATTGATTATTTTACTCACAGCTCTCGTTCCATCTTTTGCAACTGTAGACTAAAGAAGAATATCATTATTTTCGACATTGTACTTAGTTATAAATACAATTCTGACCTAATAGACTTTGATCGTACTATTTTACAATAAGTGCCTCTATCTTACTCAATGTGAACTGGTCTAACATATTTGCTCAACAATGATACTGCCTGTGTCTTCTTCTTTTACGTCTAAGTGCTTATCGTAATATTTAAGCTCTACACGATTGATATCTTTACCAGCTGTGCTGTCAAACTAAGTAAAATAATACTCACTGAACGATGTTAGACAAAACGTTGTTTATTACCGCATCCCTATAACCTAACATTTTTTTTAAACATTGTTAGTATGTTTTGTTGTCTTACCTTAACAGCACCACCGCCAGGCTTATGAGTGATGTTGACTGTCGAAGCAACTTTTGGTTTAGCTTTTTCTTTAAAATCCAATTTGACAGTTTCAATCTTCTTGTCACCACCACCTGGTTTGTACGCAGTGTTCTGGAGCGATCCAATCTTCGATTTTGCGTTCCATTCTAATTTCGTGGATACAATCTGGAAAACAAAAATCGTTTGTAAGTTGCTGTACTTTACCACTTTTGTAAAGTTCTATTTCGTAAAAAAGTTTTATTACCTTTTTGACTCCACCACTTGGAGTGTAAGCATCATTTTTAGCAGCAATTTTGGGCGTTACGTTACCGAACTCTAATTTCCTGTTTTCAATCTTAACTTTTCCACCGCCAGGCTTGTACGTCGCATTGTCTAATGAGCCAATTTTCGATTTTACTGCTTTAATGTTAGGCGACGGAGCGTTGCCAACTTGTACTTTGTTCATCGGTACCTCTGAAATAAACGTTTGAAATATGTTATTTATGTGTTCTATGCATTTAAGCTATCAATAAGAAACACTACACCAATATTTGTATTATGCTTGCCTCTTGTTTAATTTTAGCAAACTCATAAACATACCAATTGAATGTTGTACCTTTTTTATACGTTTAACTTGGGGTTGTGTATAAAAAAGGGTAGTCATCGTTTAATATACTTTATTAACCAATGTAAAGAAACTATAATAATATCAATGAATAGTGGTTGTTGAGTACAATAAAACCAAGGTTAAGGGCAAAAAATGCTTACGATAAAAAATGGTAATTGCTTACTTTTTTTCTCATTCGGTGGTGGATTTTCCGGCGTTTTAGCAGTAGCACTTTTGCTTGATGACCGTGACAGGCTTGTTTTCAAACTGTTACTGGACTTCTCCTTCATGGGGAGTTTGCTTGGGATTTTTTTATTAGGCGAACCAGGAGATCCATTGACATCCTAGAAATATATTTAGTTAAATTAGTATGTAGTTTATTGTACGAAAATAAATAAAGATATTTTGATAAAGATTCATACATTGCCTTGCGTAGATTCATCGACGCCACTATCATTGTCACCATCTAAAGGAAACATAAAAATACATGTTTGAATTGTATGATACGTGTTGACCAGAGAATATCATAGTTCTAATCTAGTTTAAGAAAACGTTTGGCTCATTTTGATAATCGAAATATTTGCGTTGTAATGAATATGTATATTGAGTTACCTTTTGGTCGAGATTTTGGCGCAGACGCTGTTTTACGAGGCGTTTTCTTTACATCTGCAGAACCAATTGGTGAAGTTAAATCGTTTGGTTTCTTTGGTGGTTGTTGTGGTGGCTTAGCATCTGGTAAAGGAGACTTTGAAGGAGTCTTGTTTGTCGGGGTTACTGGTTTTGTATCTGTCTTTGTTTCTGACTTCGGTTCAACTTTAGGAGTTTTTGGGCGAGCAGGTTCCGGGGTAGCGTTTTGAGATTTTATTGGGACAGTTGGGCTCATTGACGGTTTTTGCTTAGGTTCAGGAGAGTCATCACTGCGAGTTAAAGACGGAGAACGATCAGAAAACTCTTCTTTTGGTTTTGTAGTTTCAGTTGCAGTTCGTGAAGTCGTTGAGTTATTTTGCAGAATCACATCATCGTCATCATCAACTTTCTTTTTTGGTGTTGATGTTGGTAATGCACCAATAAAAGATTCTGTCATTTTAGATCCAGATAAACGAGATTCAGCGCGTTCAGGAACTTCTTTCCCTGCATCATTCGAAGCTTCTGAACGAATGCTCTCCTTCGATTCCCGTACATTTTCTTTGCTGTCTATTTTTCCTTCTTGAATTAAACCAAGTCCTGGACTCCGACTAATAAATTCATCTATCCTTCCACCTATAGCACTGACAGACTTTCGTCGATCATCTTCTGCTTTCAAGGGGCTCGGGGCTCCGGGGGCTGCTGCAATGCTATAGCTCCTACCTTTAGCCACCCCGGGCCCTTCAATGCCGTTTTCTGCCTTAGGGACATTTGGGTTTTCACTTGAAATATTTTGGTTATCCAGGTTGGCTGATTTTGTCTGATAAGTATTAGATATGTCAAGACCCTTCAGAGAGCCTTGTGATGGTTGCCTCTGGACTCCGGGGACAGGTGGTGCACCGTTTCTTATGGCACCGTTTGGTTGCTGTCCAGCAATCTGTGGTCTACCTCCGTCAGGTGTAGTTGCACCGACAAGTGGCGGCTGCCTCGGGCCGAACTGCAAGTTGTTCGGAGGAGGAGCACGTTGCAGTGGCTGTCCTGTCGGTGACTGAATTGGTCTAGGACCTTGTTGGGGTGCAATAGATTGCGGACCAAAAGGTCGTACTGTAGGAGGAGCGGGGCGAACTTGCTGAGCTCCTAGAGGGCCAGTTGGAGCTGGGGCTGGACCTCTTGCTACTGGTGCACCTGTTCTTGGCGCAAATTGTGGAGGGGAACTAACAGGTCCTCCAGGTTGAAACTGCGGTCTGGGCTGTGATGGAGGTGCCGCCGGTCTCGGAGATTGTGGTGGAAAGGCTGACCGAGAGTCCTGCCTATTAAGTGGACGAACTGATGGTGGTGGCTGAGTTGAAACTGGTGCTTCTTGACCAGCTAACCCTGAACTCAGCGGGCGAGCCTCCGTTGGCGCCTTTCAAAAATAAATAAATAAATCGATAAACCATATTGTATGACCAAGCTGTATGAGCTACAATAAATGCAGGTACATGAATCATGAAAGTTTTATGATTGAGATTTTCATTTAGATAATGAACAACTACGCTTCTGTGTTTCTTAAATAAATTCTTCATTAGTAAAGTTTTACATGTAATCAAACTACTTATTTCTCTTATCGCGTTGGATGGATACTTCGGTTAATCACGAAACAAAATATTGTTTACATGGCGCAGACACGATCGAAGGATAGTAACCATAGAAACTATGTTTCATAATGTCAATATTGCAAACACTCAATATTTAGCGAGTCTGGGCGACATCAGACAACGTGGAGTGATTGAATGTGGTATCTGGCGGGTACGGGGCGGAGACGGAGGCGCTGTCTCCAACTCCCCACTCGACCGGAATCTCTACCAACTAGCAATAGATTTTCAGAAAAAATTAAACATTTTTTTTAAATAGAAGAACAAAAAACATTTCATGTCTGTCATTCTACGAAAACAAATTTAATAACAACTCAACCATAATTTAATGTTAATAATACCTACTCAGAATTTAAATAGTCTATCTATTGAGAACATTGTACATCTGATGCAGTACATTGCATTAAAGATAAGTTAAACGTGCTGTCACTTCTAGATATTCAATCATTTTATCTCTTGATTTCAATAATTTTCTGAAGCAATTTATCTCGATGAGCTCGTGCGCGCAGTAAAGATAAGCTACGATTGCTTAAATTACGTATGATGTATGTAAAATTGAGAAATGTATTAAATGATTTATTTCCGTGTTTCCATCCGTTCGTGGATCCAGTGGGACCGCGTGAGCGAAGCGAGCAACGCCCGATAGATACAAGTTGTCACGAACTCGGCTACTGGGTCAACGAGCTATTGCTGAGCAAAAAATATACAGCACGTCCTCTGAACCAGTTCCATTTGGAATAGTTTGTTAAAAAACTTCGCCAAAATCCTTAAAGAAATTTTCGGTTATTCCTCAGAAATCGGGCACGCAATAATTTCGCATCGCCAACAAACATGAATCAATGACAAACGGATTATTCGGTGGAAACTAAACTAAACTTAATAGTTTGTTTACGAATTAATTTGAATTTAGAATGTAACCGTTTTTGTTGCCAAATTATTATTCATAGGTATCAATGTATAACAGTTGATTCGTAGACAGCTGTAGCGTGTGCTACGACAATGTCTACGAGCTAACATCGAGCAATGCACTAACTGTACAAATATTTTTACTGAACTACCGTAAACGACATCCCAAGAACTCATTTCAGTTTTTGTAAAATTTCTATATATATAGTTAGTTACGTTTTTGGACAATCATCCCAGTGACGTGAAATAAATCGTCACAACTTCGGATATTGCGCACAGTTTGTCATACTTATCAACATGATTCCAAAGTTCGCTTTTGTTTTATTTTAAAAATTATTTCAAATAAGTATTTTGTACGCATTTAAATACATATTTCAATAACTACAAACTGATATTTCTAAAACAATGGTTCAGAGTTGTAATTAACAATATGACGTGCAGCTTACTTTAATCCTGTCATTTCTCGTATTATTTTATTTGACTGTATTAGTATAAACATAGTTATCATAAACCGGTATTCTTGTATAAAAATCTAAACATTTGTGATGTAAATAAACACGACCTTAACACTCATTCTTTCTCAGAATTGAATCTACAAATTGCCTGGAAAAATATCAGCTGATACCTACGTAACTAATAATATTAGGTAGATGCTGACCTAACCAAAACATTTAGGTTTAAATATATGAGTGTAAACTAAGAATAATTTAATTAAAACCTTAGAATCATATTGATACATTTTTAAAGTTTCCCCGAACATATCAAACGAGGACAAGAAAAGACCAGCGCCCATAAAAGGCATGACTTCTAAATTGACTTTGAACGTTGAACGCATCGCGGAATGGTGCCTGTTTAGGGCCTATCCCAACTGAAATAGAAATACGACACGCGAAATACATTTTCGTTTTATTGAAGCTCATTTAATATGTAGTAAATTGCTGGTAATACGTGAATGCAGAGCCGATTACCAAAAAGAATTACTTACTTAAGTTTAATCTAATATTTTCAAAGTTCCATGGACCTATATTTAAAGCGCACTGCTCGTTTGACCCCTACTTACGAAAATCCTTCAAGTCTCTTTAGTATATGTGAAAACATAAATGTAGTCTAGCATATTAATTTTAAAAATGCATCGCCATAAATATGTCTGTGATTGTCTGTGACAAAAGGTAGACGTTCTTGATCGCGTGATTTTGCTATATTTTATAGCTCTCGTCAACGAATTCTCTCAAATTTACATGAAAAGACTGTAAAATTTCGCGAATACTATGGTTAACTTTGGCATAACATTGCATGGCGGTACCTCCACTGATTTATATTCATAAACACTTATTCTGTTTCTTGGAAATTACGTTGATATTCACGCAGAACAAGCAGCTAACTTTGCAATTCTTACAGAAAAATTACAAAAGTTTGGCAAGTCGAAACGGATTCAATCTATTCATTATGTTTTAGTGGCGTAGTGCTCAATGCCGAAGTTTCCATGAGCTAGTCATTTTTGGCCAAGCTTAATAGTGGTATCGTTTAAGTAATCACGAAAGTCCGTGATTCGATGTTTTACCTAATAAGCTAAAACGGCCCTTGTACTTTTATTGGAAGAGTTAAACGCTTCACGGTCGTACTTTTTGCAACGTTTTCAGGTACGAATCTGACGTAAAACGAATGAATTAACAGTTTGTTAATTACGGAGTAATCTCGAAGTTTGTAGTTAAGCCGGAACACAAGTTAATGTTTAGTTTATTCATGTCATTTGATGGTTCCATGAAGTGCATTAGTGCAGCATTTAGTTCGGTGCTCTCGTGAAACCACGAGGCTTACCCGGTTAGCGTCCATACTGCTTAGTGACTAGTACAAAGGTTAAAGTTTACAATCTTCAAACTTTGACAGTCTCTATGTCATATTTCTTCGCTCGACGAGGCGATCGCGATTTTGCGATGTCTCCTTGAAACTATAAAAGATAATAAACATTTTAGTAGGCTTGAAGCCTTCACGCACAACTACCTGATGCTATAAAGGTGCCGTGGTGCTTGGTGACGCATTAAACGGTGGACTACACAATTATATTCAAGTGTTGGTGACAAGTGACGACTATCTGATACGCCAGTGGCTTATGTAAGATTATTCCTATCGTTGTGACTCACTACTTTGCGACTTTATTACGACAGCATACAGTTCATAATAGTGCCAAGATACGTGAACGACCGTCAGATCGATTATTGGCGTTACGAGGTTTATGTACAATCGATAAGTAGACGTTCAGCCTTACAGTAACACATATGTAGGTAGCCTACACCTACATAGACACAACCGTTTAGTCGAGGAGAATTTCTTACAACAATCTAAATATCTTGTATGGTAGAATGACACGTGCCGAGACGCTTGCCAAGTAATAAATTAGTACTATTACCCAAGTAGGTACCAACGAATTATAGTTGTTCAACTACAAGTGATCGATTTTTAGTAATTAGTTAGTGAAATACATTCAACAAGAAAGTAAAATGATAGTTATTTCAAACCAATCTTCTAGATAAGACGAAGAACTCGTCATGACAGTGGAACTATTAATCTTAGGGTCATTTAAACTGAGTTGGACAGTTTCGACGTAAGTTATACGTCACCTACTCAAGTGACATTTGCCTACATTAAACGTAGGAATAATTAACCAATGAGTCACACTGACGCGTCTGCGCATACGTCTTTGAAATTTAAACAAAAGGGAAACTATTTGAAGCACGTCAGGGTTATGTTTCTGTCGTCTAAACATAATGTAAAATTATTTATTCAACTAACGACTAGTCATAATAACCTATCTGCCGCTAGGTCTGACTACTACCTGCAGAATAGGTCTATTAGAAGGCCCAGTGCCTCTTAAAATTGCTGAGTAAGAATCCCACATTCCCTCTCCCCCCGGATCCTTCTCTTTCTTCCCAAACCCCGGGCCTTTCTCCCCGAAAGCTAGATGCCTTATGAAGTATCCCTCGAAGAACGCTTTTAAACTGTTTATAAGGGAATAAGCACTGTGTGCTAAAGTATAGATTCACCCCTAGTTTCTGCTGGGCTCCAGAAACTCTCTATCTAATTTATAAGACATAATCTAATTTGTGAGACGGTAATGATCATAATTGATGCAGCAATTATTTTTTGGTAAATATACTAGTACTTATATTTAATTTTGAAATTTAAAAAACGTGTCATAACTCTACCTTTCGTAGCCATGTCTACAGGTAGGTAGGTTAAGAATGGTCATTAATCTATCAGTGACCTAGTTCTGTTACTCCTAATGACAGGTTTTATCTCTCTGTGTCAAATGCATGACCAATCCTAACGTTGCATTTAAATGACGTTCCATTTGTTAAGATGGCTGACAAATCGTTGAATCAGTTTTCTTGGACCACTTTAAGTCAGGAAGTACTTCAAACATAAAACCCCTTCCCGGGTATATTAATTTGCAAATGATTCATTAGTAATCATTAGCTATTGTATTCTGTCCATTTATTCTCCTTTAAATTATTTATAGTGACAAAAATTACTAATTAGTATAGGTTTATTATATATTTTTATTTTCCTATTCATAAGTTTGTTATTTATGTAAGTTTATTATTTGTAAATACCTACATGTTGTTCTAGAGGTACCAACAAAAAAGTTGGTATACATGAATTTGTTTCTGGAATTTCCTTGTCATTCAGGATAATTACAATAATTACCAAGGATTTAAGAATATTATAAGCTTCAGGTTTTCTGATCTATTTTAGTATTAATAATATAATTACATGGGTAATACTTAATTGGGGAATTCTCAATTAAGTATACCGATGTAATGTTGGAATATATGATTTAAATACGATAGCAATTGACTTTAATAAAACCTGTGACGTGAGCTTTAAAACAAAAAAAAATGTACAGAGAAAATTTTAGTAAAACACTATATATTTGTATAAAGACTAGTCATACATCTCGGTGAACATCTCGCTAATTTTATCGGTGACTATTACCAAAATAAAGTGATCATTGTAGGTACAATTCCACAAAATATATTTGTTGGAACATTTTATAGGACACAATGTTTTATAATGTCGACTGCGGAACGTATAAACTAGCCAATATACCATTTTCATAACTGGGTCCGGCGTCATACGCTAAATCTTAGGGAGTCTATTAATAAATCGTAAATAAACGTTGTTATTCTTATTATAAACAAACTCCAGTTATTTTGGACATTTCCATCGACGTTTTGACGTCATTAATGTCGATCAAAGTCGATACGAGTTTCGCACATTTGCTTAAAGGAACTGACAAGCGATAGATAAGTACTTACGTCGGTACCTAGGTTTAAATTACGAGAATTGATAATATCAAACAAACTATAAATATCACAGAGTTATTGCATGCTAAAATGCAAACAATGATGATTTTTATTACGTTTCTTTTTTACTTTTCAATGTTCTATATCCAATAAAATATATATCTACAATCTAAATTCCTCATAAAAATACTATTTCATAGCTCACTTGTCAAAAATGTACCTATGCACTTCCAATACTTAATACTCTTGGTAGATCAAAGACGACTGAAGATGTGATCTAGAAGCTTGCTAGTGGCTACTAAATACATAAGCGATTTTCTATTTATTTATTTTAGACCAAATTTAACGTAACACAAGATGATCTATCAGAGATATTTAAAGCGAAATATGAGCTGTTGTTTACTTTCTTATTTACAAATACCAAAATAGTTTCTAATAGAACTCGATATTAAAGAACATAACATCTAAATACATGTATTCAAAATAATAAAGGAAAAACAGTATTATGTACGAAAATATTTCTTTCAAACCACTTCAATCTACGTAACATTTTTACACTTTATACTCATTGCGCTGAAAATAAATGCTGAGTTGTAAAAAATATACTGATATTCGCGCAATATAATGTTCGAGCCAAAAACTCGTAAATAAACTATCTTCGGTATGAGATAGCATCATCACGCCACGATGCGAACACGTGGCCTGACAGTGGAAGCGAAGTGATTCGGTACATACCGGTATTTTGTAAAACTAACTACGGAAGTCTTGCTAGTACTTTTCCAAAGGAATGTACACTTCAGAAAAAGCGAAGACTTTCAGTAAAAGACCAAAAGAAATTTTAATTTTCTTATTTTGCTATTAAATCTGTATATTTGACCTAATCATTCATTTCGTAAATCTTGTCTACATCTTTATTCCTTGAAACTGTCAGTCGTTCCGTCACTCCGGCACTCCCATGGGAGGTGTCTGGGAGGGCCGACCTTCATATGTACTGATGATAATGCTTTCTCACTATTACCCTTTGTTCACTCAATTGAAGTAACCTGACCTTCAAATGACGTAGCAGGCAATAATGATTAGTACGACTTTGTAATAGGAACTACTTATGCGTGTTCGCTTATGAAATTTTGTTTTTACTAAATAATCGTTTTGTTAAATTACTACTGTTTTTGTTTTACGCAAGACTTTTTAGTGGCTAATGGCCGAAATAAATTACCAACCTTAATCTAAAATCTCTGGATCGATCTCGGTTTTTGACAAAAACTCCATAAGCAGCTAATATCAAGAATCGATCTTTTATTTTTATAATAATTATCGTGAGACATACTAAATTAACGTAAAATTGCGGGTTACTCATGTGAAAGTACTGAGAAAAGCTCTACTAGTTTCTAACCACAGAGGGGTTCTTCTTCATGAGCAGCGTGCGCGGTCGCGGCGATATGTCGCGCACGCTATTCATGCTGAAACTAGTAGAGCTATTTTCAGTACCTTCACGTGAGTAACCCGCGATTTTTAGTCAAGAATCGATCTTATTTCAAATAATTTTGATTGACACTGATTATTAATTTAGGCCGTTAGTTTTTTCATTTGATCTATTTCGGGCAGAAAAAAATGGCCACCCTCTTACGGATAATACGAACCGCGAAGATAATATTCTAATAGCTCGTCGTGGAGGCAATAAGGCGGTAGGTTACAGAAGGAAATGACGTTATTACTACGCAGGTGGATTGTGGATTCCTCCCCCTGATATAAACGAGTTTCTTCGTTCTGACTTTTTGAAACAATTTTATAGCTCTCAGGTTTACGAGCAATCCTTACAAAGTGAAAAAGAATCTTTTGTTTACACGTAAAGCGACGGAAACCCGACTAACCCTAACCGAAATCTTATAAGAAACAAATTTTACTGTACAAAAGACTTTCTCAGAAATTCTAAATGGAAAATTGTGAACGAGCTACGAACTTCTCAAACAAAAGGTATTTAAAAAGTAGAATAAATAGCTGTTTTTCCAACAAGTCTTTATAAAAACCCATCTTAGGTAATTTTACAGAAATCCTTCACAAACAATTCGGATAGGAAAAAACCTTAATAAAGTTTGAATTTCATTACAATATCGCGTACCTAAATACATTTTAATTGAGACAAAAAATAACAATAAACCGTTTGCTATTTACAAGGACATTACATTCTATGAAATAGAAATAACGCCGTCGAAAAAAGTGAAAATGTCACAATATATAAATGAGGATGTAAATGAAATTTGGCGACAATTTCACATCATTGTGTCAAGTCAAATGTGAAAGAAACAAAGAGACCAAGTGATGAAGTGGAAATTGGGCAGTAACACAGTTATTCAACCAATTGCAAGTACCGTAATGTTCCGTTTCCCACAATACAAAACCTGATGTGCTCTAGATCTGTTTAACAAGACTAGTTAGTCCCTTAAATAAAAAACAGATTAAAAAAAAAAAAAAAAGACTAGTTAGTACTTACATACGATTATTTATAAATAGGTACAAAACTCATCTATAAAATAAATCATTTACCTAAATATTCCATTAATTATAAAGTCAAACTAGTTTCTACGCACAAAAACCAGGTTTTTTTACCATAATTTTTTTTATCATCCAATTCTTAATATTATCTGCGAATCATACTTATTCATGGGAAATATCATGATTTTTCCATTCATAAAGATAGTAGGAATTATATCAGTGGTGATATCATAGTGGAACTACATAATAGTATGTTTAATATTAATCCATATGTGTTTAGTACCTAATTACTATTGTAAGCAGTTACATAAATGTATTATTTTAACAAACATTACATTCAGCATTTTTATAAGGTATTGAATTAATAATGAATCAAAGAATAACAAAGGACACGCACTGATAAATGCAGTTCAAAGCGACGTGCCGTAAAATTGCTAATCAAGCAAATACGAACGACCCTGACATACTTCTAACAAACCTCCTTAACTTTATACCTATTTTTACTATCGTAAATAAGAACGCGACTGATGATGCCGATTTAGCTGAATTTATGAGAACAGTTACGGAAACCGTACAGCAAACGTCAACTTTAAAGTACCCAATTAATGGAAATGAAGAACAACCGTAAACCCTCCGTATTATAGCCTACGCTCATTACTGAATTTCAGTATCATATCTTTAGTACCACTAGCAAATACATAAAAATATTCAATCACAATGTCTTCAATGAAATGACCAATCAGAATCATGTTACATGTAGGCACGGCAGTGACGTTAAAAATAATTTCCTTGTATGAGCAATTGTTTAAAAATATTCCTTACAATGCTTGTTAGTAATAACGCTAGGCTGCATAGCGTTTATTCATCTGCAGACGTATTGATTGCATGAAGGCAGTGGTGGGTTTCAAGCGACGCACTGCCGTCACAACATCGGGCGTCAGTGGCCAAGTGACGTGGTCTAAGATAGAGAGTTTTCTTGCCAAACGAATGTGAGTCAGTAGCGATATAAAACCGTGCGGCCAATGTAAGCATCGCACATTTAGCATTAAACCGCCAGCCTACACTGTGTGCTCCGATAAAATATTTTAAAGTATTAATGTTTGTAAACGGTGAACGTTTTATCACTTCTCAGTTCGAAAGGATTAGTCTAAACATAGACAGTAAGTATTGTTAAGTGTTGTTATCAGTGTGAATAGTTAACTAGTGGTTTCAAGTGTTTTACTGAAAATTTTTAATGATGTGGAAAATATTTTTTTTCAAACTTTGCATAATAGAGGGACAAAAATATTTTGTGTTTAAAAGTAGATTCATAAATTAGATAGAAGTGTTATATTTGTGTGATTATACTTATGATTTTTTTCTGTCTTTTCAGGAAACATGCAACCGAAAGCCGATAGACCTGTGGGCCCGAAGAGCGAGCCTCCTCAACTACACCTGACTCCATCAGGTGGAGCACAGAAACGGAATGAAGCATCACCACAACCTGGGAGCAACCCTTGGCTGCTGAAGCCACAACACGAGATCCCGCCCACACCACCGCCACAAGCCAACCCCCAGCCCCTCGAATTCTTCCCACAAAGGATAGGATAGACTTACAAAAAGAACTCACGAATAAATAATATTGAAATGTAAATGGCAAGTTGCCATTTTGTCATTCTGGCTTTTAAGAAAAGCCGAATAAAAATACGCCTCGTTACGTTAAGCAAGAATTTGCGTAAATGTCGGAGACGAACGAAGGGAATCTTCAGTCGGGCGAAACGTGAAGTGCGTCAGTGGCATGTGTGGTGTGTGGTCAACCTGGGAGACTGCGACTGGATGCGATATAATGTTTGATAATAAATATAGTTTGTGGCAGACCACGTGCCGACATAACATTATCTGTGACAAGCATAGATGGATGCTTTTAGTGATAGTTTTATTAATAGTGATGTAGACGCAGTGAAAGCAATTATTAGAACTATAAACATTCGTTTAAAGTTTAAGATTAACACAATTTGTTATCTGTTCAAATTGAAAGTTATAAAATATCTAATTCCTTCCTAGATAGGTATGACTATATTGTTAAACTAAATTAAGTACGTCAAACAATAATCTCGAGCAATAAATTATTGAGATAAATAACTATCAATTAGATAATGTAGTATTATTTTCATTCCACCCTAGGCAACTGTTCTATCCATTCGTTTGAGTTTTGACGTCAATGTAAGTTTATTTTTTGTTCCGTAATATGATTTGAACATAAAATTGAAGTAGGTACATACGTATATATGTAGGTATAACATATTCATATTCGTACATACATAAATAGGTATTGTACCTAATGGTAGGTAGTTAAACAATTATGTTTTTTATTACATGTAGAAATGTTTGATATTACGGTTACCAGTTCAATAACCTTTGACTTACAAGTGACAATGAACTCTTAGGAATTAAAATTGACCAACATTTGAAATAACTTTAAACTAGCAACGAAGGTACATAGGTTCCTATGTAGGTACATGTGCGTAAATGCGTAGATTTGTTTCCCAGTATTGGCTTATCAATCGCACATTTGTTATATTTTATCATAGACATGTATCAAGAACTAACGAAGCGTGTAGTTATCATTCTAAAAGATAAACGAAAAAATATTGCATAAGGCGAGTAGAAAAATAGATTATGAGTAAGTTGTTTGAGAATAATCTGCACTCATTTTAATCTGGATCTTAACTAAGAAGTGCAAACATGATTTAGACTTTCGTTGGATTCTCCTCTGACTCACAATAAAAGGTGGTGACTCACGGTTAAAATTCAATAGTTACTTTTCCCAAAATGATGATTCAGGTACTCATCATACTTAAAATCCTCATTTACATTGGCTTTTGTTCGTTTAAAAGCACACCAAATGTACCATTGTTCTACAAAAATACTAATTAATTGCTTAATTTATTAACTACCCATACAAGCAGAAGTTTTTGTGTGTCGTTTTTTGGAAACAAGTGAAGCAATCAGCGGTGGGCGTCAGACCGGCGGCGGCGGGTTCATCAAATGGTACAATTGTTCATACGTGCCACCACTCTACTTGTGTCTGATTGACGTCTTCCCACAAATGAACGAGTTGAACTCTTCTCTGTAGACCGTACCTACCTACACATACATACTACCAAACTTTGGATTGGGAAAACATTTTACTTTTGATACAGTACCTATGTAATGTAAACAACGCTAAATTTAATATTATTATAGCATATCAATTCACTCAAGATCTCGTAGATTAATATCAATTAGTTTGATTGATACCAATGCATTTTCCATGTACCTTTACTATGCCATCAATAATCAAACAAGGGACCCCGCCAATAAAAATTTCCATCGAGCAAATCAACCATCCAGCCTTCGAATCAATCATCTTAATTGAAGCTAATATCTTATCACATAATTAGTACAATTGTCGAGGGAAAACATTAATTGCTTCAATATCTATGACGCGGTACTAACGTCTCAAACAGTTCCTACTAGCTACGGCCATGTTCTAATTAAAAAGCCTTTTTGCGGTACTTTTTATGCATTTAGTTAATTGCACGAATCACAGTGCGAGTAAAAAGCATTTCATCGCAAATCAGGACAGAGTAATCCGTTTTACCCGGCCCATTTTTCTGTTTCCAGTGCTGTGCAAAAGTGGGAGTGTACAATAAGCAGTATTACGTCTCAAATCTACATCATTAATTATTAGTGCGTCCGCGATCGATATTTAAAACATAGATATCTAGACATCGAGTAACTACTTGGTACATAGACGACACTGTTAAGTGATATTATTGAACAAGATAGTACTAGAACGTTCCAAGTGCAATCGCGGGAAGCCGTGGCAGTGCTCACTCATTTTTCACGCTTATTATACAACTTACCTCGCCGGAGACGAACGGGAAAACACTTTTAATTAGTTTAGAATATGAATGAGATACTTTGTGATTAGACTGAAGGCTTCAAGTAAGGGGGTGCGTTCCGCAATGGACGCCGGCAAAACCTGAAGTGTCGTGATACGTGCGGCCTCTATCGGCAACCGAATAACGCGAAGACTGCCTAAACGATCAGACAGGGCACCCAACGATATACTTTTATTTATATGTTACTGTTCTACATAAAACCGACGTCGTTGTTTATTGTGGTTGAAGTAATGCTTATTTATCAGTTGCATTGACGAATTTTATTATCAGCATCGATTAATTTACTATGCCAAATTCAGTACAGATTTCAACTATCCATGTTATACAATACAAAAAACATTTTATGTAACAGCTATTATTTATTTGTCTACGCTTCTCTAAACATTCTTAGTTCTAGAGAAAAGGCGTCCTGCGCCCTGAAAATGATGCGCGCGCAACCACCACCGGCCAGTTCCCTACAGGGGAGCACTATTAAAGATTACTATAGCCTTCATTGAGAACGAAAGATATGTGTCCCTTTTACATTCATACTGAGTGAAAGAGATGACAGGAGAGTTTCAGAACGGTTTCAACAGAACAGTAATAGCTAACCCGGATCGCGACGCTCGAAGGCATGTTTATTTTTCCAAGTTTCAATTTACATGAATCATATCAGGAAATTGTAATTGAATCATAAGACTAGGTGGACTAAGGCAGATATATTTACCTAGATATAAATCAGGATAGGTATTCAAATAAGGTATTGATAAATAACATAATATGGTCATTAATGTTTTTATTATCTTCGTGATTGTAAATTAAACAATGATAGCGTTAATCATGGCCACTAAATAAGGATAACTCCGGTAAGTAACGCTTACCTCGGTACCTACGTGAAACTTTCCGTTCTTACAATGGATTTATTGATATCAAAATGAGCCAAACGTCTTTGTAGTTTGATGAACCTCGTGATAATTACCTGAAACAATAAAAAAACATAGATTTAGTAAAAGTAAACATCCTATGAGATCATTCAGGACATGATATACGTAATTAATTCATTTTGAAGGATACTGGAAGAACGGAATTTAGATTAGTCCCAGAGACTTGTAAGGATAGAGATATTAGCCTTATCAGCAATATGTATATCACTGCTAATCCACCACAATCCGAGATAATTATATAACTAGGATTATAATCTTAACCTTCGGAAAAACCGATGTTTCAAAACCTCTAAGACGTTATTTCCACAATGGAAAATAAACCAATTCCCATTAGTTAGTTAAAGAGGCATTGTGTTAAGAAAAAACATCAGATAATTATTTGGAATGTACTGATGAAGACAAAATAGGAAATCAACAAAACCCACACACGAAAGTACTTACTCAGTGTGGGTGCGACAGAAGTACCTCATTTGGGCAGTCAATGACCTCATTTGGGCTCGTAGAAGAAACGCTAATGAAGATTTAAGATTAATTTTAAATGATTATTAATCTTCGTAAGATTTTTTATGTTGAATATTAAATTGCCAGTAAATCTAAAATTATCACATCGCGTTTTGTTTTTGGACACCTGTCGTACGATTCTGTGCGACGTTTTTCTTGAAGTTTTACTTTATATTGTTCGTGTGTTCTGCCAAAAATGTGGCGCACTGGCGTTGCTACTGAGACAAAAAATATCTTATGTGGTCATGTAAATTATTGTTTAAATTAAATTGTGGGTTATTTATGCGTGTTGCCAATTTTATCTAGATGCCTAAAGCAGATTTTGTTATAAAAGGAAATCTCTATGATTTTGCTAGACAATTTTACTTCGAAACTTAGCTTTTAGCTACTGATGACACAAAAAACGGGCACATAATAATAGGTGTAAAAATCCATATCAGTATTATTAGCAAATACTGGCACTGGCATGTTTAAAGCGCATAGCTACTTAGTACTTATGTTAGCAAATATTTTTTTTTATAGTATAAACTCGAATCTAAAAATTATTTACATAATTTAATCTCTCTCTTAAATCAACATCATTTGAAATTACGAGGAAAATATAAAAAAGTGATATTATTTTAATGTACAATGACGTGAAACGATGGCATTGATAAAGACGGACATAATTGTATCAAGGCAAAAATAACTCGCATCCATTACTGATAGAATGTAACAGCAATCGCAAATCCGCCTGCCGTGTGTGCCACGAACAATGATTACCAATGATTGATAGATTGGCTACGGCGATGAAGCATGATTATCCATCCAATATCGTTAGCTTAACAATCCACTGGAAGTCTGTAAGGTATTAACTATTTAGAGCTTGTACCTTCCATAGATCACTATAGTAAAATTAACTCTTTGAGTACCGTCATTATAGACACCATTAAGAAGAAAATAGGTTGCGGTCACCGTTGTCCTCGCGGTGTTTGACAGTTTAAATTAATACGACTCCATTCCTTTATAAAGTCGCGGAGAACTTAACGGGTTACCGGAGATCCAGCTCAAAGCGCAGGAGAAGGAACGGGGTGGTTTATAATCAGTAAGAGTCTGACATTTCCTCCCGCCTCACCCAGGTGGGAGGCATCATTCGATGATTTCCCCCCTTAAAAAATCCTTTATAAAGATAATAATATGTATGCTAAATCTAATAATTTTATTCTGCAAGGCAATCGCAATGTACCTTCAAGTTGTGTTT